AATATTATTAATGGAATATATAATATTATATAATATATAATATAAATATAATAATAATAATAAGAATAATAATAATATATAAATATTAAGAAAAATATTAAACATCTCCATTGAGTCATCCCGATGATAATCTAAAGTTGCAAACTGCTTGTTTTTCAGGGCAAAGCGGAAGGTCAGAGGTCTGCGGTGTGGATCAGGGCAAGGCTGCAGGATCAGCTGAGTCAGCTGGGCTACTTCCTGCAGAGGCACGCAGGCAAGGTCCTCTTTCTCGCGATCGTCGCTTTGGCTACGTTCTGTGTCGCCCTCAAGTCCGCTCAAGTTCACAGCAAGGCCGAGCAGCTCTGGGTTCAAGGTGAGTACGTTTTTCGAGATATCTCTTTCGATTAAAATCCATTCTTGCCGATCAAGATACCACAAGGCGTTTGATCGATATCGTATGCTTCTGGCTTCGACCATTTTCGCGCTGAAAACTCATTTCCACATGGCCCGCGAAATTACGAAACAGTGTCACTGTTAACTTGGAACGCAGTTGTCTTCGCTTGGTTCACTTTCCAAAGCTTCTTTCTTTGCCGAGGTAGCGCAGTATCTTTCCTATCGATTGCTATAATTTCCTGACAATCTCTTCGAATAATTACACACACCTATTTATGTGAGAAATTATGCTAGTTTGCTGTAGAGACTAGGATCTATATTCCTCTATATTTACCAATGTATTTCGAGCTTCCAAGTATCTTTGGAAATATTTTTCTAATAAATTCCCCACTCCACAAACTATTTCCTAAAGTATCCATGTTACTTATAGATTAACTGGATCATTTTTAAAGCAGTTCTTATATCGACAAGTATTTTAACAGTGCCAAGATAATCCCCCCAGTGACCCCTAAGATAATCAGACTTCCCCAAACGAACAAACATCCATTGCATCAATCAAATACCGAAAATTTGACCGAGTACAACACTATCCAATCGAGTATTTCACCAGTAACATCTCCATTCCTATACGCTTCTCTGAAACCTCGTACTCGCCTCTCGACATAGAGACGTTAACCTTTGCCTGGCTCGCAAGCGTTAAAAGGTTGAAGTAACTCGATGATTGCACAGAAACCACTTTAATAACCCTCAGAGGAATTAAGAGATTTGACGAATGACTAAGAGCTTTACAGCACCGCGTTCCCCGGCGTTCCACGATTCATCCGGAGTAGCTAGACTCATCTGCGGCTCAGTCAGTCAGGGAATTTCCTTTAAATCACGCTGCGACCGTCGTATATTCCCCATCGCGCGAAATTGTCGGGAATATACTCTATCCTGGTCCACGTGAACGCTTGGAAAATTCGGTTCGTCGGAGAACAAGCTAGAAGGGGTAGTCGGGGGGTTGCCGAGGGCACGGTTGCGCGAAAACGTCGTCGGTCCATCCGGTTTGGGCTTAATGGCTTATCACTCGTCGGCAGTCGAGGTTTCGAGGTCGGTGGGAGCTCGTGTAACTCGGAAAGGGGACGCTTTCGGGTGAAAATATATACAGGGGGCGGTGGATAAGGGGAGGATGCGAGAATGGTGCGACAAAAGGAGATTGGGTAGAGGGAGAAAGCAGACTCTGCTCTATCCCCACGCTGAAGGCACACGGTACATTAGTTTGCTCGCTGGGTGGCCCTCTATATTTATCCGTGGTCCGAAACGCTAATTCGAACACCCCGTTGCTAACTTCGACTTCAAGCGAGAGCCGCCGAAATGAAATCCCCAACGACTTTCGAATGGGAAAGCCAGCAATACGCGTTGTGGGTGGGAAAGATGCGGGAAATGGGACTATGGTGGTCGTATGGCTCGATAAGGGATTTAAACTTCTATTTCTTTGTTATTTTTGATATTTTAAAGAATTTTTTCTTTTTTCTTGCTAATTAGGGAGATTGTAGTTTGTATGGATTACTTAATCGTTAAATTGGTAGATATTTTGATACATTTACAATAGGTATACGTCTTGGAGTAGATAGGTAAAGGGTGTCCCAAAATTCACGCAGGATTTGAATTTAGCGCCATTCGCGCGGTAAAGTGTTGCCAACGAAAGGAAATAGACAGCGTGACAGCTGACAGTTCAGGATTAATAACCCTTTGCATTCGAGAGGTGATTTTCAGTCACCATTTCATAAAATTTGGAAGATCGATATTAATTAATGTATCAAATTTAATGTCATGTAACAGTGTGCGAGGTATCGAAATCAAATAATTCTACAATTCCATTATTATACAATTCTTTATTTATTGCTAAAAAATGTATCGTCAGTTTTTTAGTAGAGAATCTTTGAATTTAAAAAAATTCAAATGGTTAAAAATGGTGTGCCACACGAAAGAACAACGTATCTTCATTGTTGAGCAATATTTTAAAAATGAGAAAGATTTGTTCGTTTTTTATCAAAATTATTAATTACGTGAATTTTGGGACACCCTATATTTCGTATTATTTCAATATCACGTGGACTCGTGTGCAAGTACAATATTTTGGCTGTTAGTAAATTAAATAAAATTCCGATTTCGAGGCCTACGTTTGTGATTTCAAGCCAGGGGGGAGACATATGGTGTCTGTATATTCGCTTATGTCGTCGTTGAATGAACATTCGTCCGTAAAAATATTATCGTTATAAATGTTGGCAATGCCAGTATCGTGGGTACCCTTTCTCCAAAAACAATTAAATACTCCTGTATTTTTCTCAATATCATTCTGATTCCAAAATTTACTTAAAATATACCGTTTTAAAATTCCCCAAGAAACTAAAGAAACTGAAAATCCCACAGTGTGTTGCGTCACACAGTTCGTCTGTGTCCTGTCACGGTCCCAAAAATAATTTCCCACACCCCGTGACGATCTTACGTAACACCTGACTCTTGTAAAATCAAATTAGAATTGTTCGAAATACACCTTCTTAAAATTCCTGGAAATCCATTGAAAACCACATTTGAAAGGTACTGTAGCTCGTAACACCTGAGTCTTGGTCGTCAATCCTCACCTAGCGATTCGATTCGGCGCCTAAACGGTGCGGTTCAACGACCGGGCGTTTCGCGACGAGAAGACGGAACAATGAAAAGTGCTGTTCGGGTATCGGGGACAAATATTGCCGGCGAAGAGGAGCACAGATGCTGCAGCGTGCCGGTGTCTCAGCGGCTAACTGTTCCAAAGATTCTTTCGTCTCGGTCCGCTTGGCACGGGGAGCTGGCCGTGATCGTCCACCGTCTAGGAATCAAAGTTAAGGCCACACTCGGGATTTCCTCGAGCGCGGGAAACGCTCGCGGACGGCAGATTAAAGACGTATCAGCGTTTTATGAGATTTTAATGAGCAAACGAGTTTGCCGGGCGCGCGCGCGGCTTTTGCTCTCGAATAGCGCCTCGGATCCGGCGGAGCGCGAGCGGAGCGGAGCGGACGCCCGTTTACGGGACGTAATACCGGCCGGGTCGTTGGCAAAAATTTGCATCCGCGATAATCACGCGGGAAAATCGTTAAAAAGCCATCCATCTCGAAGCCGGGAATTTCAGGGACCGCGGTAACGGTCACGCTGGGATTTTTAAACGCGTCGGACGGGCCCGCGATGCGCCTTAATGCTTTTATGAACGTTTTAGAGAAACGATTTACCGCTTATTGCGGTGAAAGGTTTCGGCCAGCTTGCAACCATTCGCCGCGGAATCCCGCGTTATGTTTCCTCGCGAATTATGGAAAAGATTACGTTCGCGAGGTTCTCTTAAATGGCGATTTAATAGAGGAATACCGCGACTTTTTCTCCTTTTCGACCGATTATAACAATTAACACTGTGCACCTTTCGGGGGGAATGCTTTAACCAGGATAAAGTTAGACGAAATTCAGGGACCTGAGTCTGATCAGGTTTAAAATTAACCCTTTGCACTCGAGAGGTTACCTTCAGTTACCATTACATAAAATTTGGAAGATCGATATTAATTAATATATCAAATTTAAGGTAATGTAACAGTGTGCGAGGTATCGAAATTAAATAATTCTATAATTCTATTATTATACGATACTTTATTTAGCGCTTAGAAAAGTATCGTCAGTTTTTTAGTAGAGAATCTTTGAATTTCTACTCTTCTCTAGTCAAATAGTCGTCGAGTGCAAAGAGTTAACAAATCGAAATAGGTAAATGTATTTTTTTTAATTTTTTTATATTTATTTAAATGTAACGCGGACGAGATCAAAAGATTCAAACTTAGTTGGTTTATATAAATAACGAGGTAAATATACGATATTTAAACCTTTGCGCTCCAGAGGCAACTCTCAGTCGCCATTTAATCAGATTCCGAAGATTGATGTTAATATATCAAATTTAAAATTACCCAACGATGCGTGGAATGTAAAATAATTCTACGTCTTAATTTGCATACCATTTCCTATTTACCGTTTTGAAAATATCGTCGACTTTATAGCAGAAAGTCTTCGAATTACTATTTTCCTAAGTGCAAAGGTTTAAAATGCTTAGCTCCAGTGATATACGATATATCATTTCGAATTTTAGTTCTTTTATTTAAAACCATCTAAATGGCTTTGTGCAATCTCATGCATTCCATCCTAACTCGCCGATAAAAGTAAACGGTACCTTCGATCATAGTTTCTCTCGATATAAACTCGAATCATAGATTTGCACGCGTCATCGTACATCCCAAACCAACCCAGAGAGGAACGAAATACAAAACAGGAATTTATTACAATTTTCACTTAACTCTCTATTATCACATACAACATATTCTAATAACTACTTCAGAATTAACAAAATCCTGTTAAATCTACTCCACGAACCATCCATTCCCTATAAAAATCCCGAAACACCCTAGGAAAACGTTCAATAGACTACGCGAATGTCCCCACGGTCCGACACCTTATCTCCGAATCGAATCTCCCGCGCAAACGCCTGCTGCGCAGCGACCTCTGTGCTCAGCGCGCCGTTTACATTCCGCGCCCCTATGCCGCCTAATTTAATAGCATATCAGGGACGAGTAACGACCCCTGAAAAAGCGTCGAGCAATTTGCACGGCGGCGTCGCGTGTTTTTGCGGTCGGGTGATCGGTGGCGTCTGCGCGTGCGCGGGGGTTGCTGCGCGGGCCACGTGACGCGCGGGCGATAGCGCGCGACACCGGCCATGGGCCGTGCGAGCGGAGAGAGAGGGGCCCTGAGATGGTGATTCGAGATGTGCCGCATGCGTGCGCCACGCGGATCGGTACCGGATATCCGTGAGGTGACTGCAGTCGACGCGGGATATGCGGGCGCTGTGTTGTTCGGGGCCGAGTGGCCGGGAACGACTGTTCGGGAAAGATGCGGCCATCGCGCGCGGAAAAAGAATGGAAGTTTACGACTTTCGCC